TCCGTTAAAAAACTCATCTAGAGATGATGGTGCATGCAAATTATGTATTAGAGTGAATCGAAAGTTATTGTTGTCAGGTTTTGTACATTTTGTTTAGTGATTTTATTTTTGGAATTCTCCCAAAAATTTTGTGAATAGATCAACGCTAATCGTCAACTAGTTCCAATGATGCTTTTTACTGACGAAGTTGATACATAATTAGCACTCTAATACATAGTTTGCATGCATCATAATCTTTAGATGAGTTTTTAACGGAAACGGCTGCTCCTAGAGACTTCAATAAGGCGTACATTTCTTAAGTAGAAAAGATAGGAGAAAATATTTTTCTATTCCGAAATGACATATACCGTGGCACAAAAAAGTTGAAGCGATTTAAAAGGATCCTAATGGTCGCTTGTGGCGCCCTCTGGGAGATACAGCCAATCGTCCATAAAATTTGAATTTCCCGTCCCAAGAAACCTCCGCATACAAAATTTCATGAATTTAACTCAAAGTAGTCGAGAGATATTAAAGAAAATGTAATTAATTTTTTTAAATTTGCCATCCTGTATATCCTAAACGAAGCGTTTCCAGACCTAAGTTCATAGGAAATTTTTTACTTAAAATTTAACGTAGAATAACATACTATCTCCAAGACAGTATAAACTTATTTACAGAGTATTGACATATTAAAAATATAAGATATCTTGATACTGCAAAAAATTTCTATAGTTTAATTTATAATTACCAGACGATGTGACAGTACTTAAAGCAGTTGGATATACAGGGTGATTCACTTATTATGATTAGGACTTTAACCATCGATAGATTTCGTCCAAATAATGTCATTTTAAAGTATACACTTTCTTCCAAAAGCTTCCTTTTAGAAATATAAGCTCTTGAAAAAACTTTTTTTGGTGTTCATTTCTTTTTTCTAAAACTATGAAAGCCATTTGCTTTATATTTAGTATGAAGAGTACGAATGAAAAGCTCTATCGATTTTACAAATTATTGTGAAAATAGATCAATCATAGGCATCCGTAAGGGGTTTTGATAACCCCTATTTTTAATATAATTTCTACGCCACTGGAAATTTTTCAAAATGAGTATATTTTTTTCATTGCGGTTTATTCTAGAGCAAAAAGGTCTCTTACTATTTTTAAAAGAAATGCTTGGTTTTTGAAAAAAATGGCTTATTATGGATTGATTACATGTGAAATGGTTAAGTTTTTCAAAGAAGATTTAAATACTTTAATCGAAGACTTACGATTACTTCTAAGGAGAAATATGTGAATTCAGATGGATGGCGCTCCGGCTCACTATCGTCTTCAAATTAGGCAGTGGCTCGGGGAGCACTATCCACGTCTTTGGATCGGGCGTATTTTGGAAATGAATCATACAGAACCTAGTACAGGTCCCATTGCTTGGCCGCCACGATAGCCAGATCTAAATCGCATGGATTATTTCGTTTGGGAATTTATTAAAGAAAGTCTGTACTCTTGAAAGGTTAAGAAGAATTGAAAATAATTGTGAAACATTTAAACACAACCCCAATATGGTTTGCAGTTCAAAACTTAATTAGTCGATGTGAGAAATGCATTGAGGTTCGAGGATAACGTTTCGAATATTTGTTGTGATACTTTTGTCTTTGTTAAATATTATTATTTCTGTTTGTTTCTCAATATTAATTATTTTCTTCTGTATTATGTACTTTGTTTCAAAAACTTAGCGATTTCACATGTAATGAATCCATAAGAAGCCATTTTTCTCAAAAACCAAGCATTTCATTTAAATTCATTTTGGAAAATTTCCAGTGTCGTAGAAATTATATTAAAAATAGAGGTTATCAGAGCTCCTTACGGACGCCTATGATTGATATATTTTCACAATAATTTGTAAAATCGATAGAGATTTTCATTCGTACACGTCATACTAAATAAAAAACAAATGGCTTTCATAGTTTTAGAAAAAAATAAATAAAAACCAAAAAAAAATGGTTTTTCAAGAGCTTATATCTCTAAAAGGAAGGAAGTGAATCACCCTGTATTGTTCATGAGTATAAGTATATACTGAAAGAAAACACCGGACCAATATGACCTCCCCAAGGTTACCTATTTGAAAAAAACAATTTTTTGTCATCTTGTCCTCTAGTGGCTAAACGAAGCAACATGGGATAGAGGTAGAGGTAGAGAACACCCTGTATATCATGGAAAATATTTTCATAACTATTTTTTCAAACGATTTTATTTCAAGTTTCTTAAATTTTTCCATTTTTTCCAGTGTTTTGTTTCGAGGAAAAAAAACAAAATGTTTTTTATAATTTTTCCGTTTTTCTCCAAATTGTTAAATCCCTACTTTCGATTACCTTTTACTTAAAAAAAAATCGTAAAAACACACCTTCTGGATGCTTTTTAATAGTCAGCTGGTATCGACCCTGAATTACCCCATCCGAATCCCTTCCGCCCTTCATCAGGTGATACCCCTATCACATCGCCCTATACATTCTACTTAGCGCCAAGGAAACCATAACAGCGGCCCCGAGGTCGTTCTTTTCGGGGGAAAAATATTTACTTAGGGATGAGCGGAGATCCACCCCTCTCAATTTAAGGGCCGCTTTTTGTACAGGAACAGATAGACGATGTGTTACAGCCAGTGCCGCCCAAAAACAACTAAGCGCAGCGTTGGCAGTCATTTATCACCGGGCGCTTTCGTCGCCGGGATAGGTCTCGATAGCTGGATCGACTTAAGAAAAGAATTTGATGCCGGTAATGGAGTGGATGGCTTCAGTCTGACTAAGCCAGTGAAATACGTAAGAAACTGGAAAATATATCGCCATAATATGACTGTGGTGGCCAGCTAGACCACGCGATCTAATGCTCTGGAATTTTAGCGATAGACTTAAATTTTTTGTACATGCCTATTGACAAACCGTGCATCGCCCTAGGTCAGGTATTATAATCGATTAAATTCCAGTGGGCCATTATGGAATAAATGTTTGATGTGGCATTATTGGAATGCATTTAATTGGCCCATACTTTTTTAAAATTGTATTGAATGCTAATAGCTATTTACAGTTTTCCAGCATTGCTTCAACATATGCCGCTGCAGCTCAGGTTGCATATGCAGTTGCAATACAATGGTGCTTCTCCGCATAAGGCTAAAAGAGTTAAAAACTATTTAAAAAATACCTTCGGAACTAAGTGGATTGGAATTAATGGGCCTGTAGAATGGGCTTCAAAGTCTCCAAACTTAACGCCCCTAGACTGTTTTTTATGTGGAACATTAAAAAATCAAGTATATACAGGGTGTCCCAAAAGTGACGCCCGTCCTTATGGGTTTTGATTAAGGGGACAAAAACAAATCGAAAATCAAGAGTGGAAAATTTTCCGATTGTTTTTCTTTGCTGTTATTCAAAAAATTAATCAAAAAATTAAAAATAAACATTTGGGCGGGGTTATTAAATATTTATGTAATTCAAAGCTGTATTTGCTGCAGCTGTATGTTTTTAAATGAAAACTTACCATTGCCATTGCTGCATGACGTTCCGTTAGCAGTTAGACTAAATTATTGGTTTCAACATGATGGAGCTCCATCACATTATGGTTTACAAATATAAAATTATCTGAATCAAAACTTCCGAAACAGATGGATTGGAAGAGGTGGACCATGGCCTCCTGGGTCACCAGATCTGAATCCCCTAGATTTTTCTTTTGGGGTTATTTAGAAGAAAAAATGTATAGTCCGTATATACGCTGCTGTCACGTTAATAGACGAAGAGATGCTACAAAGAGTTCATGCTTCAATGTTGGATCGTGATGATCTTTGTCTTGAAGTAGAAGGCAACTTATTTGAACACGTTTTGTAAAAACAATTTCTATTATTTAAGCGCATTATGGTTTTAGTTTATGTTTTATTATAAAAATGTTTTTCTCTGTCATTTTTAGGTTAAAATAATTTCTTACACCCAGGTACAACTAACAATCGAAAACTATACTTATCTACTATTGTTATAAATTATATGTCTTGGTTCCCATAAGCACAGACCTCAGTTTTGAGACAAAAAAATTAATTTTCGCTTTTTTTAGTTTTTTGAATACTTTTTTGAATAACTCGACAACGGAAAGCAATCGGAAAATTTTCCACTCTTGATTTTCAATTCGTTTTTGTCTCCTTAATCAAATCCTAGAAGGACGGGCGTCACTTTTGGGACACCCTGTATATACGAGAATTTTGGAGCATTTAAAGCAAAAAATTCGACATGTTTGTGAGAATCTTTCAAGAGAAACGTTGTTTAAAGCTACCAGGGGAAGTTAGGAAAAGACAGGATAGGCTTAAAAGTAGGAGGCATGCATATCGAAAAATTTTTAAAGTAGGTAATAAATAGTCATAATTTTATATTTTGTTTTGTGTTCTGTTATTAGTTATTATTATATTTATTAGTTACAATTAAAATTGTTTAATATTTTCTGTATTTGATTATCCTATTTAACCGTCATTATGTGTATTGTTCTATTTTTCTTCGTGGTGTGACCTTTTTTAAGAAGAACATAGCCACTGATATGGAAACAAATTTGTGACAGGAGTTACAGCGATTGTTTTTCACAGTAATGTTGATTAAGTCATGACTAGTTCCAATACAATAGAATACAATTTTGTTATAAAGTTTGTTATTGTAACTTTTTAAGGAGAAGAGATAAGGAAAGTGTCTTTATCAAACTCGTCTGTTACTTGCCTCGCTCGCTTCGCTCGCTCGGCTCATCTCAGGCTCGTTCAATAAAGAATCACTTTACTGACTCGATACATAAATGACTATTAAATAATCGCTTTTTTACAGTATATTTCTATGGATCAATGCATATCCCATAATTTTTTTGTACGAGTTGTGCATCACCTGTATTTTGCTAATTTCCAATTCGACGAAAAAGCTCAAATATATGTTTCCCCTTTGTTCCTTTACGCAATTAAATCCCCCGATTAATTACAACCCCTGCCTGAATTAATTATTAAATTATCACACTCACCCTGGTGTTGTTCCGTTCCGCCTTCAACTCGGATATTTCTTCTTCCCTTTCCAACAGCTGCTCTCTGGCGGCGTTCAGCTCCTTCGTGAGGGTGGCGAATTCCTGAAACAAGATGTGATCGCGTTACTGGAAAGTTTCCTCTCGGAGATGCGTGGCCTCTGGTAGGCGTAAGGCTGAGGAGAAAGTTATAATGCCACATGACGCGCGGGTAGGGCGAAATCCGAGGGATTATTCTTTACATCCGCGAAGTTCGCGATACCCAAACTTAATTTTGCGAGTAGCGATGGGAATATTAAAAAAAAACATCGTAAGACAGGGAAGGAATGGATATTTTTTTATTCGAATTCGCTTTGTATATAGGGTGTTCGATAATTCGATTGTCAAGGATCTACAGGATGTTCCTTGTTCGAAACTAATAGGAAAAGTGCATTACGTATTAGTTCTAAATTGATACATAATTTTGGTCATTGATCTACAGACTCATCGTTTGTTATTTATGAATATAGCATTACCGAGTTTATTACATTGTTTTCCTAAAGCTGAACTTTTCCCAGTTTATAATATTCACGAATTTAACGTTTAATGTATGTATAAGTTTAATAATGCTCTTTATTCAATGGCATATTTAAATCTCACTGACTTCTTATGAAGTTAATAAAAACTGTCGACATCTTCTGCTTCATTAATTCTTACATGTTCTTATTAGTAGCTTGAGCGGAAAAAATAAATCAATACATCAATTAGGAGCAGAAAAAACACATTTTGTTGCCTTGACTGCGAAAGAGGAAACCGATCGATCAATTACGATCCAGCGGAACCGATATATATTCTAGCAAATAAATAAAAGTTTAAATAGACAGTTGACTTGTTTACTGCAATATCTGCCACTTGTTACCGCAACTTACGCAGACATGTGACAACTCCTTCAAAACTTGACCCTTTTCAACTGAAACTTGGGGAAACTCGTCCTCCATTATCATCATCGTGCCTTAAGAGTCTACGGACAACGCTGTGATTTCTTCCAAGATGTTTCATTTATAGAAGAAAATAAGTATATATTGAATTGGCACAACGAATTTGTCTCTCTAGATTGGCGGCTGAGAAAATTTATAAAGTATCGAGAATCAATCAAAACCGGTAAAAATCCAATCCACTTGGCAATCCAATCTAGTTAATATAATAAAAAACAAGTGCATATAGTGTATATAGGGTATATAGGCATATAGGTAAAGTACATTTTGATAATAAAAAGGATGATTTTCGAAATTACTTTAAAAAAACAGTAATCGAGATACAAGGTGCTGTTGGAGTTTTTGAAAATGTCACATCTATGCAAATATCTCGAAATTCTATTCAAAAACAAATCATTTTAAGTTATTATTTTATTCACTCGTTTGCTTAAAATAAGATTTTCACACAGAATAATTCTGAAACTGAAACTAAAATAAATCTATAGAGTGAAACAGGGAAGAAAAAATGTAGACATTAATTGGTAGTTAAAATGGTTAAAATTGTATTTCTAACAAAAATATTTTTTTTTATTATTGATTTGTATAACTGTACTTATAATATACTCACTGTAGACTAAAAAAATTACCGAAAGTGACGACGTTTTAGAATAAAATATAAGAGATCTTTTTCTTCTTTGAACTACAGTAAAGAAAAAAAGGACTTTTAGGTTTCTAAAATACTCAGTGGCATCGATATTCCGATGGTTTTTTAGTCAGTCTCAGTATCTTCTATACTAGTTGATATAATTATTTTACAGAATTTCAAAAAATGTTTTCCTTTACTTAATAAAATCGTTAGATAAATATTCATTTAATCTACATCAAACTTGTTTTGAAATACAAAGGTTTTAAGGTCGCTGATACACAGTGGTTGGTTCAATAAGGATAAAAAAAATTAAACGTAAAATTGTAGTAGTACGAATGGCATCATCCAGTGACTACATTTTGTAAATAAAATCCTAATATAGTAGTCATTAAAGCTGAAAATCAGCTGTAACCTCCGATCCTTTGAAACTGCATGGATTTGCATGAAAATTAAGAATAAGGTTCTTCTTAGTCTCAAGTTCAAATGTGACATAAGATTTTGTTTTTTAGGGGTAAAAACTACTCCTAAGTGAAAAAAATTGAAAAAATTTTTAAGCATTTTATTGATAAAAATCTAGTTCGAGCACAAAAATTAAATAATGTTCCATGTTCTCGAACATGTTTTATGTATTATTTGATCTTTTCGACCCTTTATTTATCCCTTAAGATCTACCCCTATGCAAAAAATAATGATACAAAATAACTTTTTAAAGATTTGGAATGATTAAATCGGGCAATTATTTAAAATAAAAGTTACCTCATAGCAAATAAAAGAATGCTTCCCTTTCAACCCCTAAAACCACCCCTGTATTGACAAGTTATAAAAAATTACCTTTTAAAAGCTTGGAAAGCTTTAACGGTGCAATTATTTAAAATAAAAATTACCTCATCGCTTGTGAAAGAATTTGTATCTCATAACACTTTTCAACCCTTATAAATCACCCCTGTGCTAAAAAAATTATAAAAAATTACGTTTTAAATATTGGAATGCTTATAATTGTGCAATAATTTAAAATAAAAATTCCCTTATATTGTTTATGAAAGAATATTTTACTTTTGCCATTTTCAACTCTTATAAACTACCCTTTTACCAATATTAATGTAAAATATTTTTATTATAATCGATTTTTAAATATAATCAATCATAAAAAAAATTGCTACGCTGCATATAAATAATCACACTAAATTTTTTTACTTATTTTATTTGTATAATATAATATATAATATATAAAAATGAGAAAGCCTATTTTGCTCCGAAAAAATGTCATTGGTTTTTTTACCATAACTCGGTTAATTTTGAAGCTATAGTATCCTACAAAAAAGCATTTTAAAGATAATTTCAAGAGCTGTAAGATCGTTTGCATATAAAACCTTTTAAGTCCTTCGTTTTTTAAAGGGAAAGGATCGAAGGGCTCGAGACAGGTCGTTTTTTCACTAAAATGGATACTTCAAGCGGCGATATCTCCTTTATTTTTTATGCTATAGGAAAAAAAAAAGCAAAATATTTGTTGAAAAAAAAGCTACATTTTTGTTGTCTATCATTTTTTACGTATCTTTCATAGTTTCAGAGTTATTATATAAATAAGGCAATTTTTTTTGAATAATGAAAAATACGTTTTCAACTTTTACCGTACATTATTAAAAAAATACGCATTCTAAACCGGTCTAACTTCAGGATCGTATGAAAAACACTAAAACAAAACTAATTGTAAAGGGTCTACGATTAATTTTAATTCTGATGGAAATGGTACAGCGTTTACTGCTCATTTTTCCTTAAAAAATATGAACAACCCATCTGTTTTTGACAATAACTCCTTCAATTTTGCTCTAATTAACTTTTATAAGTGCTCATTTTGAAGGTCTTCTTGAGTATTCCTGGAGCGTTATACATGTAAAGTTAATCATTTTTCCGTTATTTGACGTTGAATACATCGATTACAGTATTCCCCCGAAAACAAGTCCCCTTCCACTAACCATATTTCGCTTTGTATAGGACGTACAACACTTTTAAAAAAACGATTTTCTTTGTTTATTTATAAGCTACATTTTTGTTCATTACACTTTTTTAATAAAAAGCGTAGTTTTTGAGTTATTCACGAAAAATTATTTGAAAAGGTGTTTTTTTTTTCACTCAAAATTCCAAATTTTCAATCGTGAATAACTAACTTGATTTCACGAAAAAATTCCTCGAATATTTTTTGCTCAAAATTTGATTCTCTATCGATTTCCAGCGTTATTTTTGAAAAAAAAATTTCACTCCCAATAGGGTGGAAGCGTCAATCGGCGCTATGTTCATTGACCTTTTCTTTAACTATCTGCCAAATTTCAAGTCGATCGGTTCATTTTCAAAGAATTCGGAGGTGAAAAGCTTCAATGACTGTACTATTATAACTGAAATTTTAAAAAATCCATGAAAATTACAGAAATTCCTTTATATTTCCCTAACATTTCCATCTACGAAATTCTCTTATAATTTCAGATTTTGTAGACGAGTATCCATACTAGAATTAGTATTTTATTATTAGTTTTTTTAATTATCACACGAGTCTTATTAACTTGTACAAATTGAAACGCAATTTTATCTATTTGCGTTAGTAAACTTAGCACGCTAAATCAGAAAATTGAGACACCGTCGAGTTTTATGGAGCCGTCGCGAACCTTCCGCCAGCTGAAATATAGGTTACCGTCGGAGGAAACGGTTGAAATTAATGGAAATGCGCTCCGTCACGGCACCGGTAACGCCGCTAATTCGCGACTTCTGTATTGCGATGATTCTCTACGATCGAATTAGACGAACGACATCGCCGATCCCATTACCCGGCTGTTGCTTTGAGAGAGGATCTATGGCGATACGAGAGAGCGTCATCTGGGATCGATCTGGGCACTTCCGTGCATTTTTTAGTTGGGCGCTGGAGTTAATCAAGGGAGGGACGGAGGGGCTTTTTGCGCAGTCCATCAGCGGGGAGCGGGATCAAAGGATCCCATCAGCGTTGATTAGCACGTAGAGGTCTGCCGTGAGAAAAAAAGGATATTGTGACTAATTACCCGGGGTTTTTACACCGGTGGAATAAAACAAAGGAAGGATACAACGGAAATACAATTTTATACCGCGCTGTGAATTAAATATGTGCGGGGTTCGTTCCCGTCTGATCCCTTGATCTCACTGCGAGGTCATAGTTTTTGATATGTACGGAAAGATGTACTAAAAACAGAAGGTCATGTAGAATTAAATCGCATAACTGAAAAAACATACAGGGTAGCCCATCGAAAACGTACCGCAAGGCATTACAGGGTAGTAAAGAATTTTTCGGCAAAATCCAAAAACAGGTCAAATTTGTTTCTGAGGGGGACNCCGAAAAGTTCATTACTACCCTGTAATGCCTTGCGGTACGTTTTCGATGGGCTACCCTGTATATCTAAGGGGAAGAGACAGTTTTTTCCTTTTCTTTCTTTTTCATTGTTAGCCAGTTGAAACTATTATAGGCCAGGAAAATAAACTGGGAAATG